GGTATGTGGCAGGAGGCGGTCTCACAGATAGCCAGGTCCTAGGCCATGTAGGGCTTTAAAGGTAATAACCAGCACCTTGAAGTGCGTCCGGAGACATTTAAAAGCTAGCAAAGTCTGAAAGAGCCAGTCTATCACAGGAGAGAAGTATTCACATCACACTTCGTTCCTGGTTTGTTTCTCCTTTGTTTGTTTTACTGGTATGCTAGTAATATGCTAGTAATACAAGGTTGTTCTTCCTGCTTGGTTTCTGTTTAGGTCTGTGGGTTTGTGTGTTTTAGTTCATGGAATAATTTTTTAAATCCACAGATAGGGTTGCTACTGTTGTTTTGTATTGTTTGTGAGGTGGGTTAGATTTTTTTTTATCTTGCCTTGATTATGTTTCTAAGTAACTCAAAGTGACAAACATACATAATATTTTTCCCTCCTCCTGTTTTCCTCACAATGTCAGCCCTATGATGTGGGTTGGGCTGGAAAAGAGTGACTGGCCCAAGGTCACCCAGCCGCTTTTCATGCTTAAGGCAGGAATAGAAGTGTCCTGGTTTCTAGGCCAGCACCCTAATCAGATGTGATGCATTGTGTTCCTGTGTAGGGATGAAGTGTTTTGTTCATGCGAGTTATTATGAGGGTGATCATCTTTTCGTTTTAATACTTTATCTGTATTTTTATTTTCTGGTTTTGTTTTGGTGGTTATTTGGGAGGAGGGGTATATATTGTGCTTATTTGCCTGTCCTAGTATGCTAACTGTATTTGAAGGCAGTGAAGCTGGATATTTTATTTAAGAGGTCTGTGCGTGTATGTGTATGCGTGCATATACACACATTTTCTGTTTTCAAGATAATTTTTCTTGTGTTTTATGCTACATTTCTGAAGTCCATTTGACATTTGGAAGTAGATCTCCATCTCTGCTTTATATTTGAGGAGGAACTGCAAGGAGGGAGGGAAAAGAAGAGAAGAAAACAGTTAAACTAGAGGAATGATTCTGTTGATGGTTGGTGTTGTGAATTGATGGGAGGTTTGCTTTGTCATATAAACCAAGAGTAAGCCAGGATTTAGGGTTCAGACATAATGATTGCAAGTGACACATTTCACCAAGTCTCTATGGAGAAAGACTTGGCCTTTTCTCACAACAGAAATGGGATTAAGGACAGTGGCATCCATTACATTAAAAGTGTGGTGATAGCATCTGAATGGACTGCCAAATATTTCAACTGCCCCTTTAAAAAAATCTTTATAAAAAAAGCATATAATATAGAGAACTGTTTTAAACAGAGTAAGTAAGATTGTTAGCTAGATCTGGAGAGTGTGTGAAGTGAGTAAGGAAATGAGGAGCAGATTCTTTAGAAACAATAGTACATAAAGCTGACAAGAAAGCTGGAAATAGTGCCAAATGATCCACTATGATTACAATTTGTTTTATTGTATTTCAATAATTGCTTAAGAAAAATAAGAGTTGTGTAATATTGTTCCTTTGTCAGCAAGGATTTAAATATGTTATGAAAAGAAAGGGATAATAAGGTTGTGTTACAACAGGCACTAGGGATGGTAAACAAAGCAACTCAAACTGTACATTATAACCTTTTAAATGGAAT